TTACTAGGGCTCCCAAAGAGTGGATAGGGAGGTTGTGTTTGTCACTTTTAAATTTTACATTTCAAAATTGTCATTTAACATGTCATAATTTGTTGGTTTCATTCGTTTAGCCAATCAAAACATTGTAAAACAATAAATTGTCTGTTACGTACAATCAATTTTGTTCAGTTTTGATTAGTTGTCAGAATAAAGTTACGTTCATCTGAATCCATGTATCAAAACAAAAATCCTATTTTCACTTCAAAATACTTTAGTGAGATGAAGGCTCGGAATTGTCACATGCAATAACTTATTGTCGTATTCGTTATTTTATCTTCTCGATAGTAGCATTTACACCTTGTCGCGTACCTCTTGGGGAACCCCACATTTATGTGTGTACTCATGGAAGTAAATTCCCCGGTGTAGCCGAGAGCCACAAACTTTTCAACAGGTTCGAAATGACCAATTTCTCTCATATATACTCTAAATATTTTATTATTTAGCACCTACAAAGTATTGCTAATAACCATATGTAATTTCAATAAGGAAACTTATCTGGCTACATATAAATTCAATATCAACACTAGCTGTTCTCTCAACACGTCCTGGCTTACCTTGTGGTGACAAACCCTGGATTTTCGCTATTTATAGTTTATCAACACCTGAACGCATGCGCATTTTATACTTTATCGGGCACTTTAAGCAAATGTAATTCCCACCAGTTGTTGCATTTGAACATTGATATGGAATGAACACAACTTTCTGCATGGAATGTTGCCCCGGGTATTGTGATATCATGTTACCATAGCAACCATAACTCTAACCAACCAACTCTTTTTTTGTCGAAACTTTACAATTTCAGTAACAATACATAAAAGTAAATTTTGTAAAATTTTAAGACGATTGGTGCATATTCAACAAAATACCAGCACCAGTCCTGTTACTTTTGGAACACCCTGTACACATATAAGAAGAGTGAAGAGTGCTCAAATGGAGTAGCTCGAACAATTCATTCCGATTTCATGTTAACACATCAATAGAATGATTAAATGCTAAGTACTAAGATCAATTATTTCACTATATATTATAGCTCACTATTTGATTTGAAATATTCTATATAATTGTCTATATTGTGTGTTCTTCTTTTTTCAATAAAATAACTATTTGCTAAGATTTTGCAATCTTTAAATATAAAGTTATTAAATTTCTACAATACACTCGTGGCGCATCGTTATCCATGTCCAAAATAACTTAAAAAGCGCATGCGGAGAGTCTAATACTTAGCCAAAGGAATGGATTTCTTTGGTGTGTGATGTTTCGTTATAAACGAATTAACCCCACGACAAATGGTTAATCTGTACAATAACAGCTTGTGATATTTCTGATGTTATTGAAATCCGTGTGATATCGTTTATCAACCTCATTTGGGATTTTCTATTTTATTTGCGTAGTAGGATGCGATTGTATATAATGTTAATTTATTATTGTCTTTTTAGAAAATCCAACTTCGGATTGTTCGACCAGGGGAATCAAGTTGAAGTTATTCTATACAGCAACATGCAGTCAACCATTTTATCGCTTATAATAGTAGCTGCATTCGCTGCATATGGTAAAACAGCGTTTCTATTAATTTCCGGGTTTATTATACGAGGTATAATCATGTAAAATCATGTTTCTTGTCTGTTTATCATATTAGAATCGTAACATAGTATTACAGACCATTATAAATTAGTATTTATATGTAGGCGCGAAGACCATTCACCGAAAATAGAATTAAATATTTTTTGTTTTATCATTCACTGTTATATTTCTCACTCACAATATTTAAATAACAAACTATTGATGTATAATTATTCATAACAATGTACTCCCAGGTTTTTTTTAAATTAGAATCACACTCGACTGGAGACTGTTATTTTTTCCATGATGGTGAAATTCCCTGCAATCTTATTTGTCCATGTGACTTAAATATATCTTGTATTTACACGCACTTTCCACATAGCATTGGATACAATGTGAAAATGACGTCAGCGCTTGGATACGGTCCAGTATCCCAAACGCCCTAGATTTCAATCCAGAATATGACTATTACTGAATAAATCAATGGCGATTAGTTTACACCTACCCGTGCCAATATTTGCATGTTGCTAGACATATCTAATAAATATAAGAAAATGATACTGTGATCATCACAATTTATAATTTTAGGATAAAAACACGCATCTGTTAATATAAGAAATCAATTTAAAGCATGCAAATTGTTTTCATGAACTAGTAAAAATCAAAGGACGATTCTCGGTTTGGAGAACAGTCTCCTGGGCTAATAATTTTTTTATGAAAAATGTAGAAATATTACCCAAATTAAACTATAATGAATATTCAAAAGAGGACATTTAAATCTACAAGATGTAAAAATAACAAATTGGTCTGAAGCAGGGATAACGCTCAATTAGACCGATTCAATAAAATACAAGTCTCAATTTGGGGAAAGAAGTTCATCAGTGTACTGCGCTAATATTTTTTGGCGAAAAATCTAGAAATATTACCCAAATTAAATTATGACTATTCAAAAGAAGACATTCAAATCTATATTATGTAAAAAATCAAATTTGTCCGAAGCAGGGATAATGCTCATTTAGATTGATGAACTTCGTTCTCCAAACCGAGAATCGTCCTTTGACAGACGAAAGTCACGGCGAGAAAATCGTTTCGCTACACTGCACTGGGGATGAACTGGAAACGAGGGAGGTTTTGCCTCGTATCAAAATGGCGGCGCGTGAAAAAATTTCATTCGGTAAGATTTTTGTTTTTTACAATTTTCGTGCTTTTATCCTTCAAATTAAAACTTAATATTTGGCAAGTAAATAGTTCATAAGTTCCGGTTTTATAATATGATTACAAATTAGAAATCAATACTGGCATTGCTGAGATATTTACATATCAATTCTCTCACTTAGGAAACGAGGCATGTTTCTCAAGGAAACGAGGCAGCTATATAACATTCTTAAGAATGAAACGAGGCAACCATATCTAATTAAAAATGTATTGTTTTTATTACAGAACGGGGCCTACAAAAAGAAGCGTCCCTGTTCAAATGCTATTTCTGTAACACAGGAAACGACAACGTTGCTGATATTGTATTCCATATGATGCAATAGCATGATGGTAATCTCTCTGTACGGAAACGAACGTTAGATGAGAAAACAGGTTCATTTGTATACACGTCTCATCATTTTGGCGTTGCCATTGAACGTGTAAGAACGCTTAAGAAGGAAGGGCATACTGTGATGATAAATTCTGATATGCAGTTGAGAATAAAACGACGGATCGAGAGAGAATCAAGTATTCAAATTATTAATAGTTTGATTGTGTTTTGTTGGTTAATAGCAATTGAGTTTCTATATGGTATGCCTTTGGGCGAATGTTCCCCTTTATAAAGGCGCACATGAGCGTTTATTTCCTTTTAACTGATGTGTTTTTATTCAAAGGCAATGTTATATAAAACAAGCTAACAATATGCGTTTTTATCAAATAATATGTATTTTAAATCTTGTAATTGTACATTATACTAACAAGCGAGTACAAACTTATGAGTTGATGAAGTTGTTCAGGATTGAAATATATGAATATAAAAAGGGTTTATCATGTTAATACGTAAATACAACATTACATAATTTTACATCAAGGTCTTATGTCAAAGTGTCAATTAGAACTTAAAACGCATGTCTTATTAATTTCTCAATAATGGGAATTAAAGTTACTAGGCATATCCTTAATTTTCATTTAAAATCACCATGTGGCATGTATTTTTCACAATTTACTATCTTTCAAATAAGAGCCTTTTGAGAGCCCAAAACATTAAGCAACGGTTTTAAAAATGAAAAATGTTATGTTGCATGTACATTGCCTTATGCAATTATTAATACCTATGAGAGCCATTTAATTTGGCAAGTTTAATTACTATGTAAGAAACTGAAAAGGTCAAGGCAATTAATGGTTTTTATGACATAGGTGCCTATTGCCTAAGCTATATATTACTCTGTATATATTACTGTATATATTACTCTGTGTGAAAATAATATATGCATCATTGTTATTATTATTATAGAACTATATAAAACAAATGGTGTTGTGATCAATCACTTAAAAAGAACTCTTAATGTATGGAAAACCAGGCATAATAGAGAAAATACGAATTATTAATACATTTGGTACTTCAAAATTTTAATTTATCACTCTTTAGAGTGGAACTTTTTATCGTACCTAACAAAAGGTACGATATTGTAGTCAGCTTGACGGGCGGGCGGCGGGCGGGCGGCGGGCGGGCGGCGTCTCACTTTTCAGCTTGTCTACAGGTTTCCAGCCAAACCATTAGAGGGATTCATCTGAAATTTTCAGGGATGTTTCTACATATCAACGTCAAGAACTGATTAGTTTTTGGGCATTTTGGGTAAATCTTAAGGTGGCCATTTTGGATTTTCCGTCCTAAAATCTTCACTTTCAAGACTTGTCTACAGGTTTCCAGCCAAACCATTTAAGGGATTCATCTGCAATTTTCAGGGATGTTTCTACATATCAACTTCAGGAACTGATTAGTTTTTGGGCATTCTGGGTAAATCTTAAGGTGGCCATTTTGGATTTTCCGTCCTAAAATCTTCACTTTCAAGACTTGTCTACAGGTTTCCAGCCAAACCATTTGAGGGATTCATCTGAAATTTTCAGGGATGTTTCTACATATCAACGTCAAGAACTGATTGGTTTTTGGGCATTCTGGGTAAATTTTAAGGCGGCCATTTTGGATTTTCCGTCCTAAAATCTTCACTTTCAAGACTTGTCTACAGGTTTCCAGCCAAACCGTTCCCATTTTTACATATGTTACACAGTGATAAGTTCTAGAGCTGATTAACTTTTCTGCGGCCATCTTGCTTTCTTGGTCAACAAGACCACAATGCTGTGTTTTAGGTACGATATTGTTCACGTCTGTGCCTTGTTGATTAAGGGATCATACACATTATACATGGGAACACGTTAAGGAGGCTTAAACTTCTGTTAATTTATGATTTTCATAATTGCAAATTGTACTTTACATCTGCTCAAAAAATAGAAATAAAAATGTTATCATGATCATCCAGAAGTCCTCAAATTATAGGCGTTTGCATGTCTTCATGTGTCGAGTCAAATTCCCTTTATAGCTGAAACGCCCATGGCAACTGGGGCACTTGTGCTTGACATTTCCATGTACGGCCTCTTTATGTCTCTTGAGATTACCCCTATGTATGGGCTTCAGGCACTCTGGGCAGCCTTCTATATCTGTACTATGTTTGCATCTTATGTGGTATGTAAGGTTAGTCTTGGTGGAATATTCGTTTCCACAAGCATCACATTTGAATCCCTTTTCCTGAAAATTGAAACATCCTTTGATATTACATGTTTATTTCTTTATAAATGCGAAATATAAATGTGGGTGCATATGATAATTTTAACTTGGCTAAAATATGATGAGATATAATAATGAACACATGATACAATAATGGAAGGTTGGATATTGTCATTGAAACAGCATTACATATGATATGATTCCACTTTGTTTCAATGATCAAAATCAATTTATTTCAAATTGTGTACAATGTAAACAGCCGGGTAATATTTTATGAAATTGATAAGCTTGCTTACGTTAATGTGCTTCAATCTATGGGCCTTGAACTTCGCCTTGCTAAGAAAGCCCTTGCCACAGTCGCACTTGTACCTAGGGTTATCATCGTGCTTCATACGTACATGGGCTTGTAGGCCAGATGTGGATTTAAATTGTCCCCTACATATAGTGCATACTGTAATCGCAAGATAAATATATTTAGAACAATATATTCTAGCAATTATAAAAGGACAGAATGTAAATACAAAAAATTATGGATTTCTTTAAAATAAACATCTAGATACATATGAGCTACAACACAATATTTGTTATTTTAAAGATAATTCTTGTTTTAGGTTGCATGAGAAAGTATAGTATGTAAAGTTTAACATGTTGGTATCACAATGATAAATAAATAACTCTAGGACTATAAGATCATCAAATATTTTTTCTAACTCCAAGACACGCGTGTTAAAGTTTAAGTTCTATATCTAGTAACCTATATCATCCGTTTAATAAATCAGTTGTATTTTTACGTTCGTATTTACTCACGCGAAATGATTTCCAGTATGGTGCCTTCCTTTTTAGGGGTACTAGCAGAGAAATTGCCACTGATCTCCCGAAAAGACCCCTCCATTGGCAATATGTTGAAGCTTCCTAAAAAGCAAAAACGTTATGTTGAATAGGGAAGCAGATATAGACAGTTGTGAACAAAGCTTGCTTTTATTCTACCTTGAAACATCATTTATTTTAATTCACGATAGCGACATCATAATATTTATGCCATCGACCATTAACATTTTTCATATGGCTAATAATCTAGAAAATTTATGAATATTTCATTTACAAATGCATTACCATTTCTAGCATTTAAGAAAATACAAGGCATTAACATATGACACGTGTTGTAACTTAGTAATTAACAAATAAGTCCATTTATCTGCTACCATGGTAACATACGAGGGTATATCATAAAGTTCTCATAATATCTCTCTAATTTTTTTATTTTTCAATATATTCTAATGAAATTTTCATGAAATCTGCAGTATAGAACACTGTATTAATCTATCAAAAAATATTTGGTATAACAGAAAAATTAAATAAGTAATGGTTGCCATAGTAACCGGAAATCAAGGCACCCGGGGCAAATAAAAATAATTGAGAAAATGAGCTTAATTAACCGTGTTTACATACATAATTAACTTTCATAAATTATAAAACACATTAAAATGTTATGTTAAATATGTCGCTAAATGCTTTCACTTTAAAATAAATTGATCATGTGAATTATGTGATGTCTTAGGGGATGCTTACATGCTTCATTAGATGTGATACCAGACTCTGAGAATCAAAGCTTAATGATCAGAAATGACAGAGTAAGATAATGCATAGATGCAGAGATCATCAGAAAAATTAAATTCATACTGACAAAAAGTTTGGTTAAGTTTGAAAAGTCCTTTGATCATACTAGATGATCTAAAACAAATATGTTGCAAAGATATCAACAAAATTAGCCCCTATTTGTGGTCTAAACATATATAAGATAAACTAAAGGGGGAAAATCGACTTTCCTTGGAATATTTGACAAAACAGTTGTAGTGCCTAACAACACTTCTAATGAAGCATTACAATCATCCATAATGAGATCACACAATTCACATGACCATTTTAATTGTTCAAAACAGTCAAGAACACGTGGCATTTAACAATTTGACGTGTTTCATAACTTATTTGATAACTTATTATGCATTTAAACATGATTAGTTGGAGCTATTCTTGCACAATTTTTTATTTGCCCCGGGTGCCTTGATTTCGGGTTACTATGGCAACCATTTCTTAAATAATATTTCTGTTATACCAAATATTTTTTGATAGATTAATACAGCATTCTATACTTCACATTCTGTGAAAAATTCATCAGAATATATTGAAAAATAAAAAAATTAGAGAGATATTATGAGAACTTTATGATATACCCTCGTATGTTCTAAGAAATACTTGAAAGTCATAATAAGTTTATAATTGTTCACAGTAAAATCTGATGTCAGTCTAAGCGGTACGCATTTGTTCAGTTTTTGAAAGTTGCTAAAATTGCTAAAGAATTTGCTATTGACGCAAAACGCCAGACGCCGAACTCCAGACGTCAGACGCCGAACATTTCCACATTTCGTTGGACTATATGCAGAATAACATAATTGATAGTGACATAATAAGGAACATACAGACATTAAAGAATACAAACAGTAAAATCCAATGTACACCAATGAGACAATGCCAGTGTGCTCCTTGGTAACTGGTCAACTCGTACCCAAGATAACTCGTACCCAAGTCAAGTCGTACCCAAGACAACTCGTACCCAAGACAACTCGTACCCAAGTATATGTTTTGTTTTGAATCAAGTGTTGGGCTGGGAATGGGTATAGATATACATATTATAATGGTTACATTCAGTTCAGAATAGTTTGAAGTATGTAGAAGAGTTTTTGGAAGAAATCGATTGAAATTTGTGACCAAATATATTGGTCACAGATTCAGATGTTCGAGAGAAGAGATTTATGTTTATTCCACATATTCATAATCATTGTTCACAATATTAGTGGTATTTTTGTATGTTAATGAGTGTTTGGAACAAGTATCAGATCTAATTCATCTTGAAATATGGTATTATCAAAAATATAAAGATTTTCAAAACTTGCGCCTATTTCTTATTAAACAGATAATCTATTTAGGATTTCATATTATCAGATTAAAGAATGATAATTCTAAGAAGTCACCTTCATAAAATTAAGCAATAAAAAATATTCTAAATAATATGAATATCAAATATTATTTTGATACTTATTCATACATGATATAATACACTTTGCATGCATGTGTTCAAATATAATCCAATTAAGTTCAAAATGGAAAAGAAATTAACAGATTAAAGTTCCCTTATTAATTTTCTCTGAATGCACTAAGCTAAATTAATTGTTTGATTCATTTGTTGAAAAGTTACTGTTGTAATTATATTCATTTATATATATGTATTACAAAAAAAGTTGAGAACAAGCCTTTCAAAGCACTTCAAAGGTAATCCAAGTTAAAACAAAATGCTTTGCTTAATCCATTGAGAAAAAATGTCTTCTAAATTCAGAAAAAATATTGAGGCACATTATAACATTAAACATTTTGACACAGACTCAATTTGTTTTCTTATAGGCTCTTATATGCACTCATAATACAGAAAATAAACGTGGGTACGAGTTGTCTTGGGTACCAGTTGACTTGGGTACGAGTTGTCTTGGGTACAAGTTGTCTTGGGTACGAGTTGTCTTGGGTACGAGTTGACTAGGAAGCTGCTCCTTGACTCTGCTATTTTTGTAATATAGGCGAGTCATTTAATTATTACCATGGTCATTCGTTTTTTATCGTATCTGGAATTATATTCTATCAAATATAACCATCTCGAGCAACAACAACGCCACATTTGCATACGATTAGTAGGGAGGTTTAACGACACATGTTTTAAAGAGAAGTGTACGTAAACGTGTAAAATTGCAATCTTCAGAGAACTAGTTCTTGTCTTTAACGTCTTTACTTGCATGAATGATTACAAAGGTATCAGTTAAACTGTTTTAATTGGGTCTTTGTATAAGTCAATCCAAAACGGAACTATAGTTCTCAGGGGTCATTTCACGTTTACGTTTGCCATTTCTAAAATATGTGTAGCTTAAGCTCCCTATTAAAATAGCACTTCTTTGAACGAGATTTTTCTTATTTGAGAGAACATTTTGACGATATATGCGCTACCATTGATAGCTCGGATAGCTGGCTCGTTTATTGGAATTGACACTCAAAGCAATGCTAATTAACGTTTTCGAAATATTTAAAAAATAAAACAGTATAACTCCTGAGCATAAATTTTAAGCTGCAGCAAAGAATGAATCGAGTGAAGTGCATTGACATTTTCTGTACTTAAAGATGAACCTTAACAACATGTAGCTTAAGGTGCTATGGAAGTTAACAGGAAATGACAAAACAGGAAGTGACAATTTTTTTGCATTTTTAGACATTTTTTGAACTAAATTGGTACAGTTAGACTTTTCTTTGCTGCAACTTTAATCATTCCATACCTTCGGCTGTATCATCAAGTTCCTTTATCAAACATTTAGATTGTACAGATTATCAGATATACATAGGCCTACATGCTTATCAGACATTCTTATTAGCTCATCATGTCATAGCCTAATATGTATAACTACATTTGGAATGTGTACACATGTACCATCATTGTACCTGTATATGATGTGATTGCTTTTGCCTGCATTGGAACAACTTTACCGCGCAAATAGTGTACATGTAACATTTTATGTTATACTGTTGTAATCCGATCCTTTCAAAATGATGAACAAGGTATTGGTACTTTATTTGCTTGCATTCGACGCTCGCCAGAACCCCCACTCCCCCACCCAATCAAAAGCTGGCTACACAACCCTGTAATACGCATGGCCCACATTTGAATTCAACCACGGAAATTTAGCTTAGATTAGATCAATATTCCTATATAAAATAGACACTCACTTGGTTTATGTCTTGTACGTCGGATTCATCCATGTTGTCTTGCTCTGAAAGATAATTGACCAGTGTAGCGCTTTATGAACAATATGGTTATTCTTTTTAACTCTTACATATATAATCATGTATATCGTGTAAAACGTAATCGGTCGTATGTGACCAGAACGGTGGAAATAAGATCATTAGATGTAGACACTATCACAGAAAGAATAGTTGCCTCGTTGCAAGTCAAACATTGCCTCGTTTCATTGTTACAAAATGTAGACAGGTGCCTCGTTTCCTAAGTGAGAGAATTGAAATGTAAATATCTCAGCAATGTCTGCATTGATTTCAAATTTGCAATCATATCATAAAAGCGGAACTTGTAAACTATTTACTTCCCAAATATTAAGTTTTAATTTGAAGGATAAAAGCACGAAAATTGTAAAAAACAAAAATCTTACCGAATGAAATTTTTTCACGCGCCGCCATTTTGATACGAGGGAAAACCTCCCTCGTTTCCAGTTCATCCCCAGTGCACTGCACTTCCAGGTAATGAAATTAAAGAGAAAAGACAGAAAAACAAATGTATCATATAAAACAATAAAAGCAATAATGCAATAATAATAATGAATAATAATAGATATTATTATATCACTATATAGCTAGCGACAGTATGATTGGTCAAAACCGGGTCACATGTCGTGGGATATCTGGCGATATTCAATGGCAATGCTAATCAGATAAGACAACCGTGAGATATCTAACGATATCCCACGCTCCCGGGAATTTTCAAAGAATTTGTTTTCGTTCAGTGTAAATAATTGAGTTTAGTGTAAGTCAAAATGGCAGACGAACCGAGTAGATTCGTAAAAATATCTGAAGACTTAATGACTTAATAATATTGGGAATGTTTAGCTAGACAGTGATATAATAAAACAAATATCTCACTCTATTTTCGGTAAATAGATATTTATTCCATAATACTACTGTTTTCCCTGGGAAATAAAATCATATTATTCCATAATAACATGTTTTCCCTGGGAAAATAACAGGGAATAAAAGTGTTATTTGAAAAATCCCGTATCAGATCCCGTATCAGCCAAAATCCCGTATCAGATCCCGTATTGGATCCCGTATCAGCAAAAATCCCGTATCAGATCCCGTATCAGAAATATTCCCGGTAATTTCTCTTGAGTTTTACGCTTTTCGTCTAGCACATCTCTACAGGAAGTAAAAAAATCGTTTGGAAAATTGAAATTATTGAAATTATTATCATCTAGTTTACGTCTATTACTGTGACAAAGGTCTATTACTGTGACAAATATGTCTAGGTATGCAACAGAGGATGTTGATGACTTCATTAAAGGTCAAGAAAATATCAATACTTCGAAGAAAACTAAAAGTGACATAAAAATCCTAGTAGATTTTTTACGGAGTGAGAGGAATGAACTCAGACCGATCGAGGAGATAGATCCCCATGATCTTAATGACCACCTCAAACATTTTTTCATTAACATAAGAAAGGAGGATGGTGCAGAATATCAACCATCAACCTTAAGAGCTTTTATGAGCAGCATCGCAAGATATCTCAAGGATAAAGAATACATGGAAGATTTGCTGAAGTCCATCGTATTTGATAAGTGCCGAACTGCTCTAAAATCAAAGCAGAAGAATTTGAAAAGTCAAGGTCTTTGAAATAAGCAGTTTGCTGCAGCAAAAAAAAAATTGTACAATTTTATGTCACAATCATTGGATGATGACATACAAAAATTGAAAAAAAAATATTATGAAATAAATAGGTTATTGATGGTCGTGATGGAATATGGATTTATTCCTTGAGAAAATATGATATTGGCCTCAGAAAATATCATATTGACACTCGGGCTATCGCCCTCGGTCAATATGATATTTTCCTTGGCCAATATCATATTTTCCCTCGGAATAAAATCCATATTCCATCCCTCCCATTAAATAACCTCTGTATACTCGAAAAATCATATTGTCCCTATTTTTCAAAAAAGTTCATTTTTTCAAAAAAATCATATATACTCGAAAAATCATATTTTCCAGAAATTTTCATTTTTCAAAAAATTGCAATTATTCAAAGATTTTCATTTATTTCAACAATTTTCATTTTTGAATCATTTTTTCAAACATTTTCATTTTTTCAAAATTTTTCATTTTTTTCAAAAATAAAAATTTTCAATTTTTCACTTTTTTTGAATATTTCTTTTTCCTTGAATTCTCAAAAATTAAATTATGGAATAAAAAGGTTATTTCATGCTTGATTTTCAATATGAATTTTATTCCACTGGAAATATGACATTGACCTCGGTAAATATTATATTGACACTCTTTCGCTACGCTCGTTCGGTCAATATCATATTTCCCTCGGTCAATATCATATTAGCCTGGAATAAAATTCATATTGAAAATCAAGCATGAAATAACCTATATATATTTAAATAGTGATATTCCACTTGCCCTTCGGGCTTCGTGGAATATCACTTGTGAAAGATGTACATGTATTCACCTCAACAGAGTGAAATATTTGTTCAATATCTACCATATTATATGTCCAACTAGAAGAAAACGGGAACACATCGCAACAGTTAAAGAATAACTAAAAATGAACAAAAAACAAAAATATCTTAGTTTCTAAGTATATCATATTTTGTAGGGCATTGTTTAAAATGTTATAACTGCAACAGCTATACAGATGCCAACTGTGCTGATGACAACTTTGGCTTGCGTCCGAAAACTGGAAAATGCCAAGGGAGAATAGTCGACCGAGCAACCTTGTATACCCAAAAAGTTATAGATCAACTATTTTCAAAATCACTGGATACGTGTTGCGAAGGCGAAGATGTGATATGTACGAAGTTAAAACTGGAAGGTAATTTTTATCCTTTTTGAGAAAAAATCTTTTACCAGGTTTGCATGAATCGATTCGATAAAAAATTGATGTTGGTTCCACTATAAACGAAGCACACATGAGGCCAACGTCCTACAAATAAACGTTATCACGTCATGGCCTGTTTAATGAAACGCATTCATATTTGTCATCAGATGTACTGAGATGAATATGTTAGTATTTTATCTAGACCATATCCTCTAGTCTGAAATTTTTTTGAAATTTGGAATGAAAATATTCAGACTATAGCCCACATATGTTAAAATTTGGGATTGAAAAATATTTGTTTACATAGGAAGTGCCATTCAAAATGGCCGACTACACTCTGTTAAGCATGATAAAAGGCAAGAAGTTTAGTTAGAAATAAAAGAGTTATCTCATGAATGGGACCCTTACATGGCTCCTAAAAAGTAGAAGACACTAAATGGTGTAACACTATAAGCTGAATTTTGTCCACATAGAGCATGTGCACAATACTAAAGACATGTAAAATTGAACTGTCAAAATAATAGAAATTACTCACCAGCTCGCCTCTACCGGAAGTTATGATACGTTATGGTGTAACTACGGTAATTAATTTTAAAATATTGAAAAAATCAACAACATTCAATTTCTAGGGTGTACAACCATTTTCGAGCGAATTTGCCGATATAATAACAATATTTTTTTAGTTCCCCTAGGCTATTTATAAACTTCATCAATATACAGTATATTCAACCATGGGCTTTCAATTAGAGTTGAAAGCCCATGATTCAACATAGGTTTTGCTTCTTGATTTTTAAATATCACTATGCAAAGACAGGGACTCATTTTAGGTAAAATCATTGCTTCACCAATGAAAATTAAAGGGAACGTTAGCTCACAAAATAAATAAATAAATCCATTACAATGTTAAGTATATGATTTGAAAGATTGTCTGGATTATATGTGTGATCGATTGATGCATAAACAAACATATTCATTTCAACTTGCAGACCTCCATCCTGGCTCATGTATAGGCCTAAGACGCCATATTGCCTTATGTATTGTACTGCCCATGCGTGCATACTTAATGCGTGACGTCACATCGACAGAGATCAGCGATCAAGTTTGACTAAAAAATTAAAAGATCCACACTTAACAGCACAAAAATGATATCAATGATCGCCTATTTCATATCAAATAAGTGTAGGATGTAAGGTTTAACATTTTTCATGTTATTTAGTATTTACAGAAGCAGAGCTTGTAAAGAAACCAAGTTTTAAATTCCGATTTTGACTGTTGACAAAAATAAAGAAAAGAGAGAAAGAGGCGACTTGTTAGAAACAATGACATGAAATTGTGAATAAAAAAGATATTATTGTGGGTTTTATTTTTTGAGAGTTCATCAAATACACTCATGTGTATTAATTTAAATATGTATTGTAATACCTCTCAGTTCTACCAAGGATTATAAAAACTGATGGAAATGGCTTCGTTTTTAAAGTATAAAAAACACTACCCTACCCGGAAGTAGTATAACATGTATATTGAAACCATGTGTAAACTGTAAATCACGTGAATTGGCTGATGCAATCAGGATGTGACTAGTACAAAGTAACTATGATGCAATCAGGATATGACTTGTGCAAAATAATTGGCTTCACCTAGAATTCGCGATCTTTGCTCTTTAGCATAACATGAAGACATGTTTTGTGTTTAAGTAGCTAGATTCAAATACAAACTAAATGAATATAACATAAACCAACCATCATTTGTTCCAATCATGGCGAATTTTCAAGAAAATATGTGTAACTGAATGTAAATCAACAGCGGAGCTCTTCAATTATGAGGTGAGAAAAATGTAAAAATAAAAACAAAAATAAATCTCACAGAATAGAGCTATTTATACGATTCTAAGTACATTTTAAGTGCTCCATACATTAATGTAAGTATAAAAGCCATTAACCTCAACTGGGAAGCACTTTCCAACTATTTTTACGGCTTGGATTGTAAGAAAATGGCACTTATCTCAAAAAATGGAAATTTGAAAGAAGCTCAATTTATTGTGAAGATAAAGTTTATATATATCTGTATATGGGGGTGCGAATATTTAGTCCTAGTATGGGCTAATTCGCTTAAAAATGGCGATATATACCTCAGAACTTGTATTTTGTGATTTTTTCAATATTTTAAAATTAATTACCGTAGTTACACCATAACGTATCATAACTTCCGGAAGAGGCGAGCTGGTAAGTATATTTCAGTTCTTTTGACAGTTCAATTTTACATGTCTTTAGTATTGTGCACATGCTCTATGTGGACAAAATTCAGCTTATAGTGTTACATCATTTAGTGTCTTCTACCTTTTAGGAGCTATGTAAGGGTCCCATTCATGAGATAACTCTTTTATTTCTAACTAAACTTCTTGCCTTTTATCATGCTTAACAGAGTATAGGTAAATTAATTTGCATACTTGTTACTTCCCCTAGCTTTATTTCCATTTGACAATATGCTGTGTTATTTTTCATAGCATTTAATTGTACCTTACTACTTAATTGAATTGTTATAATGCTTATTTTTGGGAAGGGAAGTTTCCTAAAATTGATAATTGTGTGCCTGAAATTTCCTGTTTTTCCCACAGGAGGGACATAATGATCAATAGACTGAATTCTCAAGAAATTCAGTCTATTGGATATAGACTAGTCTTTTATCAAGCACCTGATTTTTATATAACAGGGGGTGCCCTATTTTTTGTTATTAAAAATGAGTGTCTTTATGGCACTGAATGTCGACACCGAAAAGCCGCCGAGATTTTGAAATATGTGCACGAGTGTTGTATCATAAGTCCTGAACTTGTTGCTCTTACCTTTAATTATCAATACTTGAAATCTTTCACACTAGCCTCTTAGGCTGTGGTTAAGTCTTCATTTTTTAATCCTTTCTGTCATCTCAAGATTGTATTGTGCATTATCGTGTTGCTCACAAAGGGTCACAGCATTAAATGCTATATACTCGTATCTTGATCGTTTTATATACCTTGACTGATGCTTTCACTGAGGTGAATTTGTCCAGGTATCTATAGTATGTATCCAACAGACTGACTAGAAGTCAGTCTGTTATGATGTACTACTTTCCTGTGGAAATTGCAGTGAAATTTTTTGCACAAAATTATCAATTGGAGGAACCATTTTTTCAATAAAATAAACATTACAAAATTTCAATTAAATAGTAAGGTACAATTAAATGCAATAAAAAGTAACATAGCATATTGTCAAGTGGAAATAAAGCTAGTTGAAGTAACAAATGTGCAAATTAATTTTACCCAATCGGCCATTTTGAATAGCACTTCCTATGTAAACAAATATATAGAATTGCCAAACTTTAACATAGGTGCCTTATAGTCTGAATATAATTCAGACTAAATAGGATATAGTCTACAGGTATCTAGAAACACAATAAGCCATGCAGTGCAAACTACATACATGTGCTTTCAACATAAATACGTAGCTCATCCAAGCGTTATTTCACTCATATAATTATTTTGAAAGAAACCAAGGTTCATTGCAATCGAACTCCTACTGTGGTGCAATAGCAACTAACCGAGGCGGTTGATGCACGCGGTTGGCCGATAAGATTGACACATCGTAATTAGCGGTGTAAGTGCGCTTGGATGAGCTGTTTTTCTTGAAAACGTGTGACCATGCAAAATGCACCGCAGGGTGATATCTACCTATGGGGAAAACATATTAAATAATATGCAATTGACTTGCATCGCGGGCAGTTCAATAACGCAAACTTGTGTATTTCAGTGAGGGGCGTGACACTTATCAAACGAACGTGCTTCAGGTCAAGCTTATCTGTGCCTATAGGATGTAGTGAGGATAGTGTTGCTGGCATAACAGCTCTGTGCTTCTGTAAAACGGACAACTGCAACGGCGTTGACAGTGTGCGACCATATTTCAACGTTGTTCTGATCGTAGCATTGTTCACTCTACTGGTGTAGATTAAGACTTTATCACAGACAACACTTTCAGTGAACACAGAACGTTATCTCCTGAAAGTGCTGATTTCACCACTGGACATAGAAACATTATTATTGAACCCCCCTCCTCTAAAAATAAACGGAAAAGTAATCCCTAGACTAGATGTAATACTCATAAACACCTCGGACTTACTCTTGACCAACACCTAAATTTCAACGCAAACATTGATCACTTAACTAACAAAGTAATAAGCCTAATGAGTAGAGACCCATAAAGATATAAGAACTTTCCTCCTTTCATTTATAATCTCGTCAGATCCTAGGAGAATGGGGGAGGGACTATACGACTTTCCTGCAAGCAAGCGCTTCGGCTAAGGAATCAACAAATTTCAAATGAATAGTTCTTTGGAATACCCTTCCACTAGATCCTAGAATTGGTCAGTCAATATCAAGATTTAAAAGAATAGTAAGAGGCAATGGAAGCCCTGATTCAACTCTTATCAACTTCAAAACTAAAAAAATGCCATGCCTCGTTATTTAGAAATTCCTTTTAACTGACTCAGGTCTGGAGTTCTCCTGCAAGCTCACCTTCATGCACACAATTTTAACCCAATTGCTAATCCAAAATGTTTATGTGATAATTTAAACCGGACAACTTTACATTTTCTGTTGAAATGCCCACTGCTATTAGAACAGAGAACAACTCTTCTTGCAGGACTTGAGACGATAGGGATCCGTACTCACAATGATGGTCTCAATATGTTTGATCAAGCCCAGTTTTTAGTTTTTGGAGACATTAAATTCTCAGCAGATGTTAGTGAAAAACGACTGTACATAGTAGCGTAATATATCCACCATGGTTTAGGTCTATTTAACATATAATCAATTCTAACATGATACATCTGAAATCCCTCCGGTCAAGGGAATAACGCTTACATATATTTAAGATATATGAGTGTTGGGAAGTGATATTCAAGTGACCTTTTTCTCATCTATTTTAACGATACCACAACGACTTATTGTGTAAAATTTAAATAACATTCCTATAAATTTCAAAATTGCCGTCAATGTCACTAGACTTTGGCAATTGTATAGTTTTGTCAACTTGAATAAAATAATGATGATAAATAATAATAAAAAATTACATTATCGACTGAGCTTGAATTTCAAATTTCCATGCTCAGTCGATAATGTCATATATATTTTTTTTATTTAACATCATAAAAGTGGTTAATAGTTACAATATAGCTGCAAAACAGTGATAACGGTGCCCAACCCAAACACTCTTACATGCACGACAGAGCGTTTCTTTTACGCGGAAACGCTGCGTAGCAAAATATACTGCTTCGTACAGCTCTTCCTAATTGCTTAAAACGTCAACAGCCAGCCAAGTACAACATGAATATCACACCCATCGAATGGTATACTCGAAATAAGTTACTCATACCTCTTATTCCCATTATTAGGGAAATCGTCAGACGGCTCATCATTCCCGCCCGCCAGTTGTCCTACTCGGAGCGTTTCTTTGTTTAATTTCAGTAATGAAACGCTCCGTCGTGCATGTAAGAACGTTTGGGTTGGACATGGTGGTGATGTACATGTGGAATAGAATATTCGAATTTCAATTAGTTTGAGGCCTCACACACAAATAGGTTAGTGTGTAAATATAAAATTATTAAATAGTAAAATAAACTTCATTAATCCCGCATATAAATTCTCAAATAATTAATGTTTTTATATTTGAAGATGTAATATCAAGAAGTTTGTAGCATTATTGATGTCATTTATGTTGTAGATTTTTTGTGGCACATTATAGCATTATTACATGTTAATGCATCATTTGCATCCTCTAAAAATGCTAGCTATCAAGTCCTCAAACCCAATAGACAAAGAATATACGGTAATTCAGAGGAATAGTTATAACCACAAGAATTATGCTAAGTATGTGGGTATTAATTATTACAATGTAATATTCGTATGTCTGAATATATATTGCCTTTTACATATAGTGGAATAAAAATTATTTCAAATATATTGTTTAAGAAATCGAACCTGCGACCCGCCGCACCTGAGGCGACAATACTGCCAACAGACCAACTGTTCGATTAAGATACGGAGGTAATGAGACAGTCAAGTCGCAAACGTTTAGGAAAACCGGGATATATTAGATGTCAGATGTCCATTGAAATCCCAGGCCAGAATAGTTGTGTTAGCATAACGTTTAGTCTTTTCTATCCCTAAGTGACTTGATAATGAAACTTCAACATTTAAGATCTGGGAGAGTGTTGAATTAGCATTCAAGGTCCTTTCTTGAGAATATTTTTTATCACTGCCAATTCTCCTCTCATTTGGAAGTACTAGTTCTCCCTTTTGGCCATCCATGTTTACAAAAGTTGATAATCTTTGGCAATAGAGAGATTTCGCACATACGTAAAATACAACTTATAACGTATACTTATACTTATAAGAAAACGTACAAGGTGTTTCATAATATGGGCTTTTCGTCAGGAAAGATCTTCTCGGACTGTAATAAATAAAGGTCAAAGGGATGCCATTTGTACTTTCTTGAATTGTAGCATGTTTAGTTGATCCAAATGTGTTTGTCTAGAATAAAATACGCTCATATATAAAACATATGTTATAGACCTATCTCTTCTCAAATTGACTTTTTGGAGATGCTCGTTATGAAACACCCTGTATGTCATTTGTTGAGCTACTGAATGGGTTGTTTCCAGGAATTGCTAGAACCTTCTGGTTTGACTGGTGTTTCAAATTGTTGGTTAAAGTATTTGATTGGATACTGTTGCTACTCAGACAATTAATTTTAAAAAATGCTTGCGGTCAATTGTTCCACACACATGTACAATGTAGGTAAAGCTTTATACGGAGATCCAACTGTATACGTTTATCATCAACTGTATATACAATTTTGTAAGTTCATTGAACTTATACTGATCATGAAAACTTTGAAATAATACACTACAACTACTAGGACACGGAAGCAAGCATTTAATTATAATGTGCATAATCTAGACGTGCAGATGACAGTGCATTCACAGTCTCTAGTTGATGGAGCTTTTCTATATCGGGAATTGTTATGTTCCATTAAGTATAGTTTAAAATTGATTTTAGTAAATATGTATCAGATGCTGGCACACTTTTGCCGGAAGTTTGCAAGAAGTAACTTTTGGCAATGTAGTATGTTAAAGTAACCTAGTAGGTGCAAGAAAATATAAGGTGATGGGCTTTAAAGTGGTAAAAACAATTTTCATGGCTGAATTGGACTTCAATTCCTGCAATTTCAGGGGGTACTATAAGACAATTTCATAACATAAAGGGTATAGTTGCTATTGTTCTGCTTTCTACAGCACACATTACTAGCCCAAAGATGAATAAAATCCTAAAGTTATAGGCTGATATCTGTATTAGTCTCAGAAATATTGCAATTAATAGGAAAAAATATGCAATTTTAGTCATTTTTAAGTCTCACCTATTTTATATTTGAAGTTTCCAGCAAAAGATGGCAGCTTAAATAGCTCAAAATTGTTTTCTAAAAACTAATTCAAGCTTTGTTTGATATTGTAATACAATTATAATAATGATAATGTACTGTTTATGATTTTTAATATGACTTTATAGTACCCTACCCCTGGAAAGTGGGCGTGGTCAATGTTATCATTTTGCAGCATACAGTTAAAAATTTGTATTTATAGAAAGCAAATCAGTGCATTTAAAACATCTTCACTTGTCACTTGACAATGAAATTCATTTATTACTAAAATATATGACTCTACATATTTTATATATACGTTTTCAATTTTGTACAATATATCATAATGAAATCTAATAGTCTGTTTCATTTTCAGTGTTCACTAACACATGAAATGTAAGTCACAGTGTTTCCAAATTACCTTGGCAATGAGAAAGTACCACAAAGACTACATAATGAGCAGATTCAAGGTCCTAATACTAATACTTACCGATCTATCGGCATTCAAAAATAGAGAAAGCTGTCGTGTGCACTTTTAACTAATTTTGAACTGAAACTGCTACTTAATGAATATTTTTCTCAACATCTGTGACTCTAATTTTTTGGACCCCAAACATAAGATACCAAGACATAATGCTACCAAGTTCTGATATTGGAAGTTTCAGAGCTTTAGATCAAATATTCACTTCTGCATGTACTTTTAAAAAGACCCAAAAGGACAAAAACCTGTCAGATATCGCGAAAAATATGAAAGATGCACCATTCAGAACAATTTATCTCTTATATGTTACTTTTATTTGACATAATTTCTGATTCTGCCTCCAGTTAGTACCACCAATAATACATATGAGAAGACTTAAGGTCATAGTAAGTGGAGTTACAGATCTATTGGCTTCTGAAAATGGGAAAAGCTGTAGCAAGTATGATTTTCACCAGTTCTTCATCTAAGACTGCAACTTTCGGGATTTTCTTTTTACAAACTGCACCGTAAGACCAAAGACAAAAAGGAACCCTGGTCATTGTACCACCAATAATAAGTAAAAATATAATATTGGTAATTTATACCAAGTATTTACTTTAATACCAAGGCATCTGAATTGATAAATAAATGAAATCAGTAGTTTATTGTATCTTGGGACAAAATACACTGTTTGAATGCTTAAGCTTGACATCACAGAATCAAGTGAAAGATACTTTGTTATATACAGCTATATATCACTTTAACTGACTTTACTCTTCAATTTGAAATATGCCTGGCCATCCTAAGAAAAAAGCGACGGAGGGCAAAGAGGGTACATGGTATAATTGGTATTAAGCTCTTATACAGGGTGTCCCGAAAGTATGGGGCCCCCACTAGGCAGACATATACCAGTGTTGTCATAGTATGTGTCATATATCATTTTAAAGCTTATCCAAAGTTACATTGATTCGCCAAGTATCATGGTTCAACTCTCAAATGTGAAAAAATTACAGGCATTTCAAAATTTAGTGTTTGGTCAAAATTAAGTTCAATTTTACACCAAATCACTAGTCAATGTGTCCTCCCGGGCCATCTTAACAGCAGCAATTCTTTTCGGGTCGGAGGGATATTGAGTTGGAAAAAGAGAACGGTGAGGGTAGAAACTCTAAGGAAACTCTTCTAAAGTCCCTTAACATGTTTTAAGAGGGTTATAAAATTGCACACCCCTATTTGAAGGGCTTTTAAGGTCATATCTGAAAATAATTGCTGCTGTTAACATGGCCAAGGGGGACACATTGACTAGTAATGTGGTGAAAATTTGAACTTTATTTTGACAATCACAAAACACTTACTTTTAAAATGACTGTAACTTTTTCCCATTTGAGAGTTAAA